GTTTGGATCCAACGGGAAACGTGAAAATCTTGGACAAGGGAAAATTTTGACAAAAAAGTATTTGTGGTCTGGTTCCCATTCGGTTTTGACCTCTGGAAACATGTATTGCATACTGATAAGTTCATGGGGCCTGTGCACCGAACGTTTGGACAAAGCGCTATTTGATGTAATGACTTTATCAGTTTTGACTTCTGAAACATGTATTAGATACTGCATAAGTTCATGGTGAATGCAGGAACATTTGACAAAACAGTAGTTGGCTCTGGCATTACCATCGTTTAACTCTGACAACATGTATTGCTTAACTGATAAGTTCAGTGACTGCCTGCACGAAACATTTGACAAAGAGATATTCTTTGTTGGGGCCCACAGTTTTGACCTTGAAGCGGGCGTATTGCATACTGATTAAGTTCATCATGGCTGTCTGGACTGTGGCAGGGAAACATTTGATAAGAGTATTGTGGCTGTGATCCCATCGAGTTTTTGACTCCTGAAACATGTATTGCATCTACTGATAAGTTCATGTGACTGTACAGACAAGGATTTGCTAAGAGTATTTGTTTCTGGCCACGTTTTTTTGTTTTGTTTGTTTGTTGTCGTAGTGTGCCCGTTTGTCAGTGTGGTGCGTAGTGTGGTGTTGTGTGGGCTGCGTGCGTTGCGGTGTGCGTCGCGTCTGCTGGTAGTGTGTCGCGGTACGTATGGTTTTGTTTATAGTATCTCATAGCCTGATAAATCTACATGATCGCGAATAATAATTCGGCTCTAGACACATGTCACTCTCGTCGTTTCGTCGTTGTATTGTTTGAATGCGCACGTCATCTCCTGAGAAGCAAACGTGATTGTGATGCAGGTTCTGATGTTGGATGAGGCTACGGCGGCCATCGACACAGAGACGGACGCCGCTCATACAGGCGACGATCAAGGAGGCGCGTTGCGGGCTGCACCCTGCTCACGATCGCTCACCGCATCAACACTGTGCTCGACTACGACCGTATCCTCGTGATGAGCGATGGACGGGTGAGTGGAGAGTAGTAGTGAGTAAGGAGGAGGGGTGAGGGGGGAGAGGAGCAGTTGAAGCTGAGTGGAGAGAGCTAGATGGAGTGATGAGGAGGAGGGGTGAGGGGACGCAGGGTAGTTAGACTGATGGACAGAGAGGATATGTGAGTGATGAGGAGGAGGGCCGACGCCGTGGCAGCGGGGCGGGAGGGCTAGTTGAAGCTGAGTGGAGGAGCAGGAGGGGGAGCGGGTGAGGGTGAGGGGAGGGTAAGTTGAAGCTGGGACGAGCGACGGTAATGTGCGCTGATGAGGCAGGCGTGAGGGCGGGGGCGTTAGTTGAAGCTGAGTGGAGAGTAGTATGAGTGTCGCTGATGAGGAGCGCAAGGGAGGCGTGAGGGGGAGAGGAGCCAGGTTTGAAGCTGAGTGGAGAGAGATATGTGAGTGAGGAGAAGCGGGGGAGGGGAGGGTAGTTGAAGCTGAGTGGAGAGAGATAGTGAGTGGTGAGGAGGAGGGGTGAGGGGGGAGGGGTAGTTGAAGCTGAGTGGAGAGAGGTAGTGAGTGGAGAGAGGAGGGGTGAGGGGGGAGGGGTAGTTGAAGCTGAGTGAAGGGAGGTGGTGAATGAGAAAAGAGGGGGAGGGTGAGGGACAGTTGAAGTTAGGTGGAGAGGGTGGGGGTGAGGGGCAGTTACAACTGAATGGATGGGTGTGGGTAAGGAGAGAGTGAGGGGAGTGAGGGACAGTTAAAACTGAGTGGAGGGGGTGTGGGTGAGGAGAGAAGGAGGGAAATGAGGGAGGGAGGTGAATGGAGGGGGAGGGGCTGTTAGAGGTGAGTGGAAGAGCGTTGGTGAGGGGTGGTTATAGGTGAGTGGGGGTGGGAGGGGGAGAGGCAGTTAAAGGTGACTTAAAGGGCGTGGGTGACTGGCAAAGGGATACAACAGGTGAGGGTGAGTGTAGTGAGCCTGGTGTCATCAAGGACATCCACGTTGTGAGGGGATGTCGTGTGATAGTGCTGGTAGCAACAGAACTAGTGGTAGCAGCCGTAGTAGCAGCAGTAACAGCAGCGGCGGCGGCAGCAGCAGCGACAGCGGCAGCAGTAGTAGTAGCAGCAGCAACAGCAGCAGCAGCGCCGTCGTAATAGTAATGTTGAAATTTCTACAAAATTAGGAGATAAGTGTAGATAAGAGGAGATAGTATCATAGTAGGTAAGAGATAGATAGGGATAGTAGATAGTAGATAAGGATAGTAGATAAGAGGAGATCGATTGTGATTCGCGTTTTGTATTCTTTGTTTTAGATGAGGGTTAGGGTTAGGGGTAAAATTAGTGCTATGGCTATGCTGATTAGTGTAATGGTTATGGTTAGTGTTGTCATAAGGGTTAGTGTAAGGGTTAGGGTTATGGTAAAGGGTGAGAGTAAAGGTAAATGTATGGGTTTGGTATATGGTAAGAGTTATGGTAATGTCATGGCTAGAAATATGGTCAGGTTATGGGAAGGGGTATATGTTATATAATAAAAATATTATAATATAATATAATATAGTATACTATAGTATAGTATAGTATAGTGTAGGTACTATACTATACTATACTATACTATACTATACTATACTATACTATACTATACTATACTATACTATACTATACTATACTATACTATACTATACTATACTATACTAATAGTATAGTATAGTATAGTATAGTATAGTATAGTATAGTATAGTATAGTATAGTATAGAGTATAGTATAGTATAGTATAGTATAGTATAGTATAGTATAGTATAGTATAGTATTAATATAATATAATATAATATAATATAATTTAATATAATATAATATAGCCGGGGTTATATTTAGAGTTAAGGCTAGGATTATGATTAGGTCACGCAGCACAGCCACGTGTCATCACCAGCTAGA